GTTGGTGGCTGCTGCCAAACCTGGCTAGTGCTCTTCCCGTTGGATCCCTCCGCGGGTACTGGGCACCAGAGCAGCGCATCCAACCCCGAGGGCGCGACACGCTGATCACTCGGTTCACGCCTGGCGGTGGCAAGGGGCCGCCTCCACCGATGGCAAACAGTCTGCCACCCCCCTGACCGCATACTCACAAACAGACGGACCAGTTTTAGTGTGCACTAGGTCACCAAGAGCACTGCGCTTTCATCGTAGTCGTTGATGGCAGTCGGCAGTCATCGTCATCATCGTAGACGCCGTGATGATGACATGATCGCATTAGTTTGTCTTGACTGTGATCGTGGTGTTTGTTATGCTCGTGCTAGTGGTGTCACAGCATTGGCAGCGACGGCAAGAGAAGTATCGGCAGCAGCTATCGAAACGGTAAGAGCAGCTGCTATTGGTCCTATGATCGTGGTGACAAGGGCAAGTTCATAACTGTTGAAGTTATTCTTCCGATTCCGCCTACATTCACGGTCCTTCGTCAGGGACGCTCCCAGGCTATGCTGGCGCTCCAGCGCGGGGTCCCGCAGTCGCAGCGCTCGGCTGCCAGCTGGCCTGGGAACTGGGGCCTGCAGGGCACGCAGAGCCGGGCGCAGCGCATAGCGTCGCAATAGCCACTGGCTTTCCTGGGCCAGGGACAGGTACTGTTCTGTGGGATACTTTCCCAAATCATAAAAATATTTCCAGATATAGAAACCCTACATTCTACTATCGAGGAACAGAAGACCCTTTGGGGGAAAAAGCAGAGCACCATTCGCTCAAACCCAAAACTCAGCTTCTCCACCCGGATTTGGAAGCTAAACTCCCCCTGAAACCAAAACCCTGAGCTCTAAGCCCCCAAACCCGACACCCTAAACCCAGAGACTCCAACATCCCTTAGATAAGGAATATACCTGAAACCATACTAAGGATCCTACTATAATTTTCAGATCTGTTCCTTAATGGGATCTTGGAGTCTCTGGGAACCCTATAGTAACCCTATAATGCCCTTATAGAACCTTTATTCGAAGCCTTACACCCTAAACCCTAAACCCCTAAACCCTAAACCCTCAACCCTAAACCCTAAACCCTAAACCCTAAACCCTTACAGAAGCCCAAAGAGGCCCAGCTTCGGAGGTCTCAGGAAGCTGCTGCGAGGCGAGGGAGTCGCAAGCCGTAATCGCCAGGCCACTGGAACGAGAGGCCTCCGGAGCTCTGCTTTAGGGTTTAGGGTTTAGGGTTTAGGGTTGAGGGCTTAGGGTTTAGGGTTTAGGGTTTAAGGTTCAGGGTTTAGGGCTAAGGGTCTAGGGT